AGCAGAATTCTGCTATTCTGCTACAACTCCTGTTTTATTTTATTCAGTACCCGGCACGGCGTATCTTTTCTGTAAAGAGTAGAGCTGTTGTAAAACTGTTTAGTGAAAATCTCATGATGAAGTGTTTTTTTAAATAAGATAACCATTCTGTTTTGCTTCCATACGACAAGTGAATTTCCCCTTTAATAATATAGTTAGGAAGCTAAATATTTTTGTTTCTCAATGATCATTTCTAATTATAACTAATTATAACTAACTTTCTTCGAAAGCTTCTGATAATTCCTCTTCCATATTGTCTGTTTCACTATCACTGTCGTCATTTAAATCAATAATGATTTTATTTCCACCATTAATATGGAAGTGTCTCCATATAGTCTTTCTCAACTAAAATTACTTTTTCATTCCTTTTCTGCCAGTCTTCTTCGGTAATATTAGATACTTCTTCTTCAATTAGCTCTATTACCTTCTTATCAAATTTTGGAAAATTATTTTTACGCCTGATGCTTTGTTTCAATTTTCCCCAAATCAACTCGATGGGATTGTAAACACAAAAATAGGGGGGAAATCTCAGTATGGCGTGTCCGTACTTTTCAATAATGCTCTCAAGGGCATACACTTTTTCAAATGTTTTTGTCTGTAAAACTTCAAGTAGTTGGTTTTTGGTATAGTAATCTTCAAAATACAAATTGTTATCCATTGAAAAACTTTGTATATCATCTTTCCTCGAATTTTTATTCGGTACTTTGATGAGCTGTCGTGAATAATAGGAAGCGTTGTCAAGAACTATTACACTATTCGCATCCCAATTTGGGATCAATGTGTTTTCAAACCATTCCTCAAAAATATTAGCTTCCATGTTCTTATGATAGTCAACATTGCAGTCCTCAAGTTTTTTTCCACATAATTTCAAAGAATTCGGAACCCATCCTTTACTTCCTTCGCAATTCACAATGATTAGTCGCGATCCTTTGTTTGCAGGCATGTTAGGCGTACACATTCTCGAACCATCAGTCCACCCTTTCATAACTGTATCGTGAGTGTCATACCAAGTTTCGTCCAAATAGAAAATTTGACGTTGTTCTTGTCTATATTCAGTTATTTGTTACACAATTCCATTATACTTCTGCTTTTCATAACTGCTTGACGTTTGTTCATTATTTTAAATCTAAATCCTAGTTTCTTTATCCAATTCTGAAGAGTTTTGTCACAGAAGCTCACGTTATGGCCGGAAGTATTCAATTTCTTCCTTATGATTTCAGTTGTAGGAATCTCATTGCTTTTGTAACAGTCGTATATTGTTTTTTTTCGATGATTTTATCAGATGAACATCTAAAGGTTTTGGTAATCCCGTATCACATCGCGTCTTGCGTTCATAAGGTTTCTTTTTGACTATTTTACGTACAGTTGAGAAAGGAATTTCGCTCAAATCTGATGTTGCTTGTAATAGTTTGTTTCCCTCGAAACCAAACTTGAGTATCTCTTTTTCGCATTGTTCACCATCGCCATTGGAATCACTACACAGGAAAAAGTCTACGTTGTTACCACACTCGTTATTACTATTAGTACTTGTCCAAGGACGCCACATTTTGAACAGATAACAAACATTTCAAGTAATTATAACTGCACCAATATCGAATTTCAACACTCAAATCGCGACCAGTTCCTGAACTCTCGGTTAGTAAAAATTATCCAATACGAACTGCCAATTCTTCAGTCCACGTGGACTCATTGGCAGCGGCATCATTCCTTTGTAACGGTATTTTGGCCTTTGAGGGCGCCGACACCTTTAACTATTCACAATATCGTTTACTTCGACCATACATTGTTTGTAGCACCAGCAACATTTTGTTCTTCGAGTTATGTTTGGCCGAACTTGATATTGATATTCCTTTCAAGAATAATTGGCCCATTTTTCTTTCGATATAAACAGTCACGATTTTTTTATAACTGATGACTACATTTCCCTGCAGCAAAATACCTAGAACCATGCTCGAAGACACACAACTTCACTGCCTGTGCATTAGACCACGCCAAAAAGGCTATACCTCATCTGTTGAATGGTAAGTTGATTAAGTGGCCTCCAAGTTCTGGCACTTCTGACCTTGTTCTTTTTCTTCTCCAGGAGACAAGCACTTGAAAATCCCCCCAATGAACCCTTTGAGAATATCGCTTGTAGACCTTCAGGGAGGCAAAAATTTCCACTTGCTGGCTAAGAATATAAAAGTCTTTGGTCTAGATAAAGTAGAGGTATTGGATATTGAGTAAGTTATTGTTGTGGATGATGATGTAATTCGCTGTTCTTACGGCCCTTTTTTTTCAGCGTTGACTTCGACAAAATGGAAGCACACACTCTGAGCACAGTTCCACGTTTGGAAATCTTATCAGACTATGAGATGACTGGACACCTGATGATTTTCCCGATCAACGGCCATGGGCCAGCAAATATAACACTATGTGAGCTATCTGATATTTGTGGAAGGCGAGAAAATGGATCGAAAGTTGGTGGTTGGAATTGTTGAGGTTTTGATGAGTTGTGGCTTCACAAGGAAATCGTGAAAACATGGGGAAAATCTGTTGGAATCAAAATAACAGACCCCAAAAGGGATATTTTTAAAGAAGTTCCGTGTTGTTTTGAACTGAATTAGACTCTTTTCGTTGAGATGAGTTCAAAGTTCTATAGGAACAAAAGGAAATCGTAAAACATGGGGGAAATCTGTTTGAAAACAAAATGAAAGACCTCAAAAGGGATATTTTCAAAGAAGTTCCGTATTGTTTTGAAATGAATTCGAAACTTTTCACTGAGATGAGATGCGTTCAGAGTTCCGTACCCTCAAAATGATAGACCTCAAAAAGGATATTTTTAACAAAGTTACGTTTTGTTTTGAACTCAAATTGAAACTTCTCTTAGATTGGGGTTGTAAATTAAAAAAAATACTGATATGGTGTTTCTTACGCAGTCATGGTCAAAAGGTATGATACCTGAGTCGTCTTTAGGGATAGATATTGATTCAACAAAAAGTTAAAAGGCGTTTGTACCAAATATTCAGACAGGTCGGGGTGAAGAATCCAATTGTTGGGGAACTCATTGTTTAGAAGTGTTTTGACTTAAATTATCTCACTATTAGATTTCAATACCAACAAAAAAAGAGTACTCATGTTTTATATATTTTTGGAGTTTTTACTGGACATTTTTGAAGCTGAATCAGTAGCAAGAAACGTGTTTTTCACTGCATTTGTTTTTTATATGCTTTCTAATGTTCATATCATTAATTTTCCTCAAGCGTTCTATAACAGCACGTATTTTTCAGTAAATGGTTTGTATCAATACAACTTCAGGTGGGAGAGAGAATACAGAAATGGTGAGGAATATGCAAAACTGGCGAATAGTTCTTATGACTATAAACTACGAGACGTTCACTATGATTTCAAAAATCTTTTCGACGGTAACGAGATCCTCAGTAAGTACCATATATATATATATATATATATATATATATATATATAAAAAGACTCAAAAACAACAATGTGTAGAGATATACACTCTGAGCACAGTTCCACGTTTGGAAATCTTATCAGACTATGAGATGACTGGACACCTGATGATTTTCCCGATCAACGGCCATGGGCCAGCAATTTACGAGATCCCCATACAGAAACGAATTTGAATAGCCCTGTATATATAATATACAGGCCGTTTTTTTATCTGATACCACTATTGCAACTCGGAAACGGTAGGTCATACAAGGATGGTTGAATGAAACAAAAGTTGCCTTTTCAGGGATGCAACACAATGGTTTTTTCAGATCTACAAAATCATCAACGGTTTGTGAGATATTTGCAAAAAACTGAAAATGACAGATTTTATTTTTTTGCCTACATTTTCAATAATATCCAAAAATGTCAAGAACATTTTTCACTTTATTCCATGTGCTGTATAATCTGCGTGAATTAATTTTTCAATGCAACGTTTCGTTCATTTCGTTCAACTTTGCAGACAACTCAACGTTTATTGACAAAGACATCGTGAACTTGGATGCTTCACTGACTTGTGCTACTAATAAGGCAAAAGAATGGTTTGCAGCAAACAAATTGAAATTGAATAGTAATAAAACACAAATAATGCAAATATCAGCAAATAACCATTAAACTGTTAATCAAGAAACAAAAAGCGTAAAACTGTTTGGATTAGTGCTGGACCACAGACTAAACTGGCAGACACATATTGATCAATTTGTTAAAAAACTATCTAGTTCCTTATTCATTTTAAGACAATTGAAAACAATAACTAATTTTACAACTCTTAAAACCACGTATTTTTTACTGTTTCACTCGCACATTAGCTATGGCATTACTCTCTGGGGTAATTCCACCCATGTGATAACAATTTTTAAAATGCAGAAGAAGGCAATAAGGGTACTTGCCGGAGTTGGTTTCAGAGATCACTGTCATGAGTTTTTTAAAAAATTTAAAATTATGCCTTAACCATGTTTGTTTTTATTTCACACAGCTACAACACTCACAATGCTCATCTTATCCGAAGCAGCCGCTTTCGACTAAATATTTCACAGTCGAACTCACTAAACTATGAGCTTTTCAACACATTGCCATCAAATGTAAAAAAATAAGTATTAATGCCTTTGAAAAATACTTAAAAAAGTATCTCCTGAAATATTGTTTTTACACTGTTGAGGATTACATTGCGCATTGCCGAGCCAAACG